CAAAAATAAATAAATATTGGGGCACCTGGGTGGCTCAGTCCGTTAAGCATCCGACTTCGGCTCAGGTCATGATCTCACGGTGTGTGAGTTCAAACCCCGTGTCGGGCTCTGTGCTGACAGCTCAGAGCCTGGAGCCTGCTTCGGATTCTGTGTCCCCCTCTCTCTCTGTCCCTCCCCGGCTCATGCTCTCTCCCAAAAACACATAAACATTAAAAATATATATATATAACCAAACGCCACCACCAACTAAAAGCCTAGACGGACACTAAACAACATGCCGCAGTGAAAAACAGGAATAACCTAACAAACAGGGATTGAGTAACAGCCCACACATCCTCCTAGAATGGATTCCACTGGACCCTCGGAAGTCGCTTTGAAGAAGGAGCCTTGACAGTCGCCTGTCACGGGGAAATGTCCTGCTCTTCTGCTAAGTGAAATGGAAAAGTAGGTCGCAAAGTGGCATGACACTGGAGAGCTGGCATTCAAGAGCAGCTCTGTCACTTCCTAGTTTTTGTGAGCGGAAGCAAGGGATTTAGCTTCTCTGTGCCTCAGTTTATTCATCTATAAAATGGGGGTAGGAACAGAGCCACCTTGTTGGACTGTTACCAGGATTCAATGGGCTGGTGTACATGAAGAGCACTGGGTACATAAGAGACACTTAATAAGTTTGTTTGTTTAAAAGAGAGAGAGAGAGAGAGAGAGAGAGAGAGAGAGAGAGCTCACAAGCATACCTGAGCAGGGGAGGGGCGGAGAGAGGGAGGGTGAGGATCCCAAGCAGGCTCTTCGGTGTCAGTGCAGAGCCGGAGGCAGGGTTCCACCTCGCAAACCATATAATCATGACCCGAGACAAAATCAAGAGTCAAATGCTTAACTGACTGAGCCAGCCAGGTAACCTGGCTATTCTCATTTTTTGAAAATAAAAATATTTAGGCTACTCCTGTCAGAAGATCTGAACTTGATCGTAAACCCAAACCTTGTCAGGTCTCCATCTTGATTTAATTACCAGTTTATAGGGAACTACAACTGGCCCAACCCCAAGTGTGGGACATGATCTGGTTTCTTCCATCCACAAAAGAACAAAACAGAAACAAAAACAAAAACAAAAACAAAAAGACGGCATAGGAGACACAAAGGGGCTGGTGGGGGAGCAGAACTCAGGTATTTATGTGTAAAATGATAGGATGCCAAGGATTTGCTTCATAATCCTCCCAGGAAGCAAATCAGGGGACATCCAGAGATCGAAATTAGCCGTGTTGGTAACCACCGAGGCTGGGCCCATGGGGGCTCCTCGTACTTCTCTCCCTACTTTCGAGAAGGTTTTTAAAAATGTTCATAATAAGGGCACCTGGGTGGCTCAGTCGGTGAAACATCTGACTTCGGCTCAGGTCATGATCTCCTGGTTCGTGAGTTTGAGCCCTGCATCGGCCTATGTGCTGTCAGCGCGGGGCCGTCTTTGGATCCTCTGTCTCCGTCTCTCTCTGCCCCTCCCCTGCTCATGCGTACTCTTTCAAAACTAAACAAACATCATAACAAAAGTGTTCATAATAGAAGGGCGCCTAGGTGGCTCCGTCAGTTGAGCGTCTGGCTCTTGATTTTGGCTCAGGTCATGATCTCAGGGTCTTGGGATAAAGTCCACCCTGAGTGTGGAGCTTGCTTGAGATTCTCTCTCTCTTTCTCTCTCTCCCTCTCTGCCCTTCTCCCCCGTTCATATTCTTTCTAAAAAATAATAATAAGGGGCGCCTGGGTGGCTCAGTCGGTTAAGAGTCCGACTTCGGTTCGGGTCATGATCTTGTAGTCTGTGAGTTTGAGCCCCGCGTCGAGCTCTGTGCCGACAGCTCGGAGACTGGAGCCTGCTTCGGATTCTGTGTCTCCCTCTCTCTCTGCTCCTCCCCTGGTTCATGCTCTGTCTCTCTCACTCTCTCTCTCTCTCTCAAAAATTAATAAACATTAAAAACAAATTTAAAAAAAAAATAATAATAAAATAAAATTTCTTTCAGAAAACTATTCCTAATAGGGGCACCCGGGTGGCTCAGTCGGTCGGGCATCCGACGTCGGCTCAGGTCATGATCTCATGGTTTGTGGGTTCAAACCCCGTGTTGGGCTCTGTGCTGACAGCTCAGAGCCCGGAGCCTGCTTTGGATTCTGTGTCTCCCTCTCTCTCTGCCCCTCCTCCATTCTCTCTCTCTCTTTCTCAAAAATAAACATTAAAAAAAAAAAAAAAGGTTAAAAAAATGCTCAGAAAGCAAGCATGAAAATTAATAGAAATTATGAATCCTGAGGAACTTTTTGGGAGGAGAGCCGCAAAGTAAAAACTAGTGGGAGAGGCCGGGCTGTGGATGACTTTGGTTTTCTTTTCCTGTAGGCTTGTTTATGTCCCCCAAGTGAGCAGGTGTTAAAAGTGAACGTATACACGTCAGAGGAAAAAGATATGTACACGGAGGCGTGAAGACAGAAGGGTTTGTACTGAAATGGAAAAGCAGTTACTCTGGGCGCTGGGGAAGCAGGCAATGCTGAGTGTTTATCTGTGCGTACTTCCTGGCATCTGCCCAGGTTTCGGTAACGATAAGGACAAAAACAAATATCACTGGAACATACATCCAGCCGTTCCGCCCCTTGGCCCCCCGCTCCCTGCCCAGCCGCACCTCTTCTCAAGGGGAGCAACTTGTTTTCCAAGACGTCCCTGGCGTCAGTGCCTTCATCCATCAGGTCGAGCTTGGTGATGACGCCAATGGTCCGCAGGCCTGAAAGAGCCCAGAGGTCAGAGGTCGCCATGAGAAAGGAGTCCGGGCTGGCAGCCTGGGGGTCCCCACTTCTAGGCTGTGAGACCTGGGACGAGCCATAACGTCCCCTGCCTGGACCCCAGTTTCCCTCATGTCAAGAGAAGACAACAGCCACACCGATCCCAGTGGGGTGTCCATGAAGATCAACGTGGCTTGTGACAAATGTTCTATCAGTAAATACTGGCCACCGTCACGGTCATTCCCATGATCTGCGACAGCGTCTTGCTGCTGTAGTGCTGGGGGAAACCTCGCGGAAACCCAAATCCCAGGTCAGTCTCCATGCTGTGCCGAGTCACCTGCCAAGTCCCAACATGATACGCAAACCCACGGCAACGGTTTCTAGGGTTACCTTTCACCTGAATGGCCAAAATTCCACTCTGGGAACCACCCCCATCGAATTCCTCCTGTCTCCGGGTCACCTAGACAAGGGAACCCTCCTAGCAAAGCTACACACCTACAGATCAGTGCCCCTGCTGGCACGGAAGGATCCTCTCCATGCTAGTGCGTGTGTGGACGTGGACATGTGCACGTGTGACGCGCGGAAGGCCCAGAGCGACCTCCGGAGGGTGCCGAGGGGGGCAGCGAGCACAGCCGTGCACTCCCTGGGGCCCCTGCCCATTCACATTCGGCAGTGTGAACCTCTGAGCCTCTGAGCCGGCATCAGCTTTCTGGAGGGCAAAGCAGCCACAGCCGTGAATACCCACAAGGCTTGCCAGGGAGGGAGGGGGGAGGCAGACAGAGTGCAGCAGAGGGATGTGACTGGGGCTCCCACTGACTCTATTGGAAATGTCGGATTTCACCGGAGGATTGTTTATGAAAGACCAGAAATGACCCAAATGCTCAAGAACAAAGAATGGGCAAGAGTGGCCCATTCGGTGGATGCCACGTAGACGTGTCCCTATGAGACCAGAGAAACATGCACACACGTTACGGAAAAAATCAGGAAAGACCACCCCGTTTTTTAAAACGTGAGTATCCACGGAAGAAGAAACCCTGAAAGGTTATTTACCAACCGTGGCCATTGGTGTCTCTGCAGCGGGAGGGGAGCGGTCACTTTTCAGGTTCTAGATTTTACAGTGTGGACGTGTTGGTAACGGTGATGAATTATGAATACTTTCGAAGCCAGAAAAATGCTCTCTTTAAGGAAGAACGCCAGCATCAAGGTCACAAGTGGCACATAACTGTACCCGTCCCCACTCTCTCACTGCCCGGTCAAGCCTCCGCAGTGTGTGTCACAACCACGGTCCATTCCGTGGGACCGGAGTCGGGGCACAGGGAAGCCGTGGAGGGCCGGGGGCAGGGGCGGCCTCTCCCGGGAGAGCGTGCCTGCCCAGGATGACCACGGGGACACAGCACATCTTTCGCGGGACCAAGAGTCTCAGCGCGCAGCCCTCAACTCTGAGGAGCTCCCACTCCAGTGCACGAAAGGGCCGTCAGCTGCCTGCCCTCCCCGGCCGCCCTCAGGCCTGAGCAGGGCTGGAAACCAGGCAGTGGAGCCCCAGAGCCTGTCCTTCCCCAGCTCCTCCCTGGTCCCCGACTCCCTCCAAACCACGTGGAATGAGGCAGTCGGAGGGCACTTTCCAAAATGTATTTGAGTGTGTGTCCCACTCCACACAACCTTCAACACGCTCAGGGCACACCCAGCTGCCCACGGCAGCCACCAAGGCCACGGAAGGTCTGTCCCACCCCACCCTTGCCCCACCTGTCCTCACTTCGGCTTGCTCTGCCCCGGCCACACTGGCGTCGTGTGCTGGGCACCCCAGGCTCAAATCGTGCCCAGCCTAGCTGGCGTCGCTGTCCATTTTCCTGGGCTCTGCCTCTTTCTGTCGTTCATCATTCTGGTCTTGCCTGAAACCTCTCATCTTCAGAGGCCTCTGACCCCCTCCCATCCCAGCTACTCTCAAAAGGCCTGATTTTCCTCTGGGTGCCCACTTCTGGCTGAAACTGTCCCACTTGCTTCTTTCCTTGCTGTCTTCTGTCTCCCCTGCTGGAATGTCAACTCCCCAGTGGCAGGGACCCTGTCCATTCTGTCCCCTGTAGGGTTTCCAAGGCCAAAGCAGAGCCCGGCACAGAGCAGGTACTTAACGGACATGTACTTAATAAATGGAAATGTCTGACCTGGAATGCCCCGGGCAACAGATGCCACAGTCCCCACTACTCCCTATCGCCCCACTGGGCTTCATTAGCTCATCCCCTCATACCCCCTCCCCCACCCCGCCTGGCCCCTGAGCAGTTACAGGGACTCTCCAATCCTCTCAGCACTCAGTAGTGCTACACGTTAGGATCGCTGGTGCCATTTTGACAGAGGGGACCAAGCCTCGGAGAAATGCCCAAATGCCCCCCAAGAGCCTCCCAGGGGCAGCCCTCTAGCACTGTTGGCCCCAACGGGAGACACAGGAGGGCCTTTTCCTAGGGGTCATGTGCCAAAAGGAATACCAACAACTTGGAATCAAGGATGCAGGGCAAGTCACCATGCTCCCAGGCACCCAGCAGGGGAACTTCCGGTGTAGGGCTCAGCGGTTACCTTGGGGGTCGACCTCCTTGGCCAGCTTGAGGGCATCTGAGTTGGCCAGGTCCATGTTGGCAGGGGTGACGGCGAGGATGAGACTGCTCTCCCGGCTGATGAACTGCAGGATCATGTCCTTGATCTGGTACTCGATATCTGGGGGCTGGTCCCCCACGGGCACCTTGGTGATACCCGGGAGGTCGATGAGGGTCAGGTTCAACACTGATAGGGAAGCCAGAGGGGAAGGTCATCAGACAGAGGAGGGGAGGCTCACACAGCCCCACAGCTACCCAGCCCGCTTCTCCAAGTGCTGGGGG